CTTCGATTCTGACCATTTGACATTTCCTGTCCGAATGAATTTTTTTTATATATGAAGCAGCAATTTAAATACAGACTTTTCGATGTGATTACGGGCATCAGGGGGGGGGGATATTTACGACGCTGCTGGTTGCATCCAAACCGTTCCCTTAATCAGTGTGTCAAGCAGAGGAACGGCGTTGACTGAGCCGCGCTATATTCTTGTTTGATCTGCACATCGAAAGAAACGCCATTCCAATGAAACTGCGTTTTCAACACAAGATGTCGACGATTTTCGACGACTATCAGGAGCTGCTTAGGGAAATGAAAATTGTATTCCGTTTTTTCAAACTTCAGAGCCGACGGCTTGCAATTTTACTCGATCTTTGTTGCATTTTTTTATTGTTAAGAATTTTAATCGTAATGTTGAAGCGATTGAACTCGTGTCCGTACGTGTTGACCTTCCGGGTTAAACCGCACGTCGTTTTGAGAGGAGAATTCAGCACTGAAATTCAGCTTTGCATGGGAAGAGGACTCTGCACGAAATGCAAGAACACAAACAGTACAAGTAAGTCTCTTGATATCAACAATGCTTCTGTCTTGATGCTGTACTCTCATTGTTGTTATAAATGTTTTGTTCTGTTTGTTTTGTGTGCTTTCAGGTTCCCGTTCATATCCTGTGCCTCACCGTAGCGAGGCTATTGTTACGTCACATAGCTTATTAAACAGGTATTGTTGTAATCCAGTTTCGGATATGTAACTTGGCTGACATGTTCTTGTGAACAACAGACAGCATTTGGAATTGGGGAAACCGTAAATCAACGTAGTTGATAATTATTGCAGTTCTGTATGAGATACTGTAGGGCCATGTGTTAAAGAACAGTGGACATACAGAACAATAACTTGTATTGCTATTACACGGTCCCATAATAACATCGAAATGAAAACTAAATTGTGCTTGTCTCCCCGGCCATGTCCAACGTCTGTCCGCCATTTTAAGACTTCGCCACATAAAGTTACGATAAGAAACTAGTTTATTACATAAAATGTCATGGATTTATCCGCCAAAATAATGTAAGTTTCTGTAAAGCGGTATCCTTTCGAATATCGGAAGAGTTCTTGGGACATTTCGCATCTTCTGAAAGTTACGAAGTCGGGGAGGAAACTGGAAAAGACAAAAACTCATTTCCACCATCTTGTGCTAGACGACATTTAGGCATATGTTGTTGAAATTTGGATCTTAAATTGTGGGGTATTCAGAAATAAGTCACAATAATCACAAAACCACAAGTCAGAGACGGGAATTATGACGTACATGAATAATTATGCTGAATTACCGAATTTATGAGAGTATCTATCGTTAGTGGAGTTAGTTTTAGAAATTCGGAATAGGATATTTAAGCAATGGCCATGGCTCTGGTGCTATTTCCATCGCTGTCTGTAACGTGTAAATGGACAGTGAACCTTCATCAGGAAGCCTGTGCAGACGCGAAATGTTGGGAGAATAAGTGACTTGTAATCTCATCTCAGTGAAATGTTAAGCAAATGTGGTCTAAACCGTATACACGTACGTGTATTTCTGTGGGTAAATCCAGTATTAAATAATGGGCAATTAAGGGGAATGCATTACGCTTTGGCCAAACTGGATATGCAATTGCAAATTAATTTTGAAATATTTCCTTCTTCCTTTCATGGCTTTCTCTGAACACTCCATATACATTTAACCCAAGAAAAAGATGGAGGCAGAGGAGAAGAAGGAGACGGAGACGGAGACGGAGGAGGAAGAGAACGCGACGGAGGAGAAGGAGACGGAGGAGGAGGAGGAGGATGCGGAGGAGGAGAAGGAGACGGAGGAGGAGAACGCGACGGCGGAGGAGGAGGAGAAGGGGGGGGAGAAGAAGGAGGAGGATGAGAAGAAGGAGGAGGAGGAGGAGAACACGAAGGAGGGGACGGAGAAGGAGAAGGAGAAGGAGACGGAGGAGTAGGAGGAGAACGCGAAGGAGGGGGAGGAGAAGGATGAGGAGGAGAAGAAGGAGACGGAGGAGGAGAGAGAGACGGACTCATCTTCAAGGACGCATGGAGTGTTTTGAAATTGGAGGTAAGAAACAACACCAGGAGAGCAGAACTGATTAGAATTATGAATTACGCATTAGTTTTATCGCCTCATTCTCATAGCGGTGAGTCTTTATGATGAGTTTTACGTAGCGCCACAAAGCAATCATAATCACAATCTTCAAGTACAATTATGACATCGTCCTGTTTCTTGTATGGATGGATGGACGGATGGGTAACGTCCAAAAGTCGATGTATAATCACAGACTTTTGGATCTTGTCATCAGCAAGGGTTGAGCCTGTCCGCCCGTTACGCCCTCAAACATGAAACATCTGCAAGAAGTCTCAGTAATTCGTTTGTATTGCAAAACCGCATATCTTGCAGGAGCAGGGTCTTCCTCCCATTTGACCGCCTCTGTGGCCTAGTAATCAGAGTTCCTGGCTACAGATCCAGAGGTCTCTGGTTCGATTCTCGGCGCTACCAGATTTTCTGAGAAGTAGTGGGCCTGGAACGGGGTCCACTCAGCCTCGTGAGGATATTTGAGGAGCTATTTGAGTGGAAAAGTAGCGGCTCCGGTCTAGAAAACCGAAATTAACGGCCGTGGGGATTCTAGCGCTGACCACGCGACACTCTCTATCCGCTAAAATTCGCTCGGTCGGTATAGTTCGCTTGCGGACTAAAGTCACGGAGATTTATTTCTTCCTGTATACAGTTTGCCTGTCATGGCTAACAAGTCTTGTCTACCCACCACGCATCCCTGGGTTAGGAGCCCTTACCAGGCGTTACTCAGCCGGAACCACTGGAACCTGCTGCTCCACCACTCCCTGCAGTTACATTATTACTTGTGAGGGTTCCAACTTGCTACGTAGGGCGTCAAGAAATAAAGCACGAAAGAACAAACCCTGACAAGTCCGCGCCAAGAGCTTTGCTGAGCCGCGCATGCGTCAGACCTGGCGTGAGTCTGACGTGAGTTTAACTGTGATATCAGCCAATCCAGTCTCGCTAATGACACGTCCGGCAATAACCGGTTGTTTCTACCAGGTTTATCACGTGATAACTTATCTACTGTGTGCTCAAACTCGCGTTTCCTTCCGCATTGCTCAACGCACAGCCGTTTGAGCTCAGAAGAGAGCGAAACGGAAGTTATTCAGGACCTGAACGCTACTCACTGGCCTGGGTGTTCGGGATTATGAGACTAGTTCTTCCAGGAACTTCTTGTTAGCTTTTACAATTCGAGGCTGTGTAGTCTGAGCTGCTGAAAGCGTCGTTAAATAACCACACTCCACGAAGCGAATAAAGAGTGCTTGGTGCCTTTCATCCCTTTGTAACTGCAGTGGTTTCTATATGTACCGGCTGCTTTAACACGGAAAATTACGTTCTACCCACAGAGTTTGTGTATTGAATTGTAATTTCCGAACGCTTGCTATCCCTATAACAGGCCGTGGAGGCCCATAGGGTTGTGAGACGCCGAGGCTCCCACATTTTCTAGACAATCGGCTCACATATGGCGGTGAGGTTGTCAGCCTTACGCGTCGGCCGTCCTTTACCCCCAGGAAAATTCCTGGTATTCATTTCTGTAAGAGGCTGCGTAGACCCCAGGACCATAGTGCGGCTGGAAGGATTAGGTCAATTGAAAATTCCAATGACCTCGTCGGGAATCGAACCCCCGACCTTCCGGCTTGTAGCATAGCGCCTCAGCCAATTACAATACCGCGTGCCCTGCTTTTCTG